CACGAGAAGTTTCTGGGGGGTTCTAAGACCCCCTCGGAGAACCTCTGAAACCGGGGGGTTCTAAGACCCCCACGAAGAACCTATCTAAAACTGACAAAAGACCCCTCGAACCCCCACGAGAAGTTTCCGGGGGGTTCTGAGACCCCCTCGAAGAACCTCTCTAAAACCGGGGGGTTCTAAGACCCCCACGAAGAACCTGTCTAAAACTGACAAAAGACCCCTCGAACCCCCACGAGAAGTTTCTGGGGGGTTCTAAGACCCCCTCGAAGAACCTCTCTAAAACTGACAAAAGACCCCTCGAGGGGTTTCTTGATGGGAAGGAACGACGAAGCAGGAACAGCAGGAATGTTGATTTTCGAATTTTGCTTTTCCTCTTTAGAATTCGGAACGGAGTTAATTAAATGCTTTCTTTATACAATCAATCTAAGTGTCATAATTAATTGTTTATTGTCAAATAATTATTAAACATTTCATTCATAACACAGAATAGTCGTGTCTAATCTATTAAAAACCTGCGAAGGTAATTTAAGAAAATACTTTTTAAAAATCGCGTCTCCAACAGCGGTGGCGCCACATAGTGCAAAATGGTTCAAACTTCTAGCCAATTAGTACCGTGCTGTGTCCGCTAGATAGCGCCAACAACGACTTCCTTAGTACCGCGAAGAATCCACCCGAAAATCGCTAATAACTTATTAATTACTACTCGAATCTGGTTCAAACTGCTAGTGAATATTCCTAAGAGTCTGCCACAGTTTCCTCAATCACAAATGTTCACAAATTATGCCTATTAATCGAGGAACTTAATGGTTTACTGGGCACCTGTAAAAAAATTCTTGGTTACATTGTGACATCATCCAGAATAATAATTAATGAATAATTAACGGGGCGAAGAATCCTGCCAAAAATGGCATAGGAAAGTAGGGAAATGTTCATTCTATGATTCTAAGTTACAAATGTTCATAAATGATTCCTGCTAGTCGTGTTATTAATGAATTCGCTGTTGTATTCCCAATCGCACTGTCGCTTTTAGTTCATAGCTTCCACCGCTAGATGGCGCCACGTAAATTGCTGTCATGGCGACCTCCTCGGTCCTGATGCTTCGCGCGTACGCACCAGGGACTGATGAGATGCTTTTTCGAAGGAGGTGGCACGAGAGAGACAATCCTGTTCTTGTCGCACAGTATCGCTATCCTTGTCTTACACATTACGGGGATAGGGAAATCGCTCAAAATTGCCCTGTAGAAATCGACACAGCTGGAACGGCCGTAGTCACGGCTGCATGAGTCTGCCCCTGATGCTATGCAACCAGCTTGACGCATTTGCAACTCCCTTAGATTGTTAATATTGTGACAATGTTTATTAATGTGTATTAATATCTACCGATATTTATTGATATTAACAATATTTAGTAAAAATTATTAATATTGCCTGGCTACTGATAATTTTATATGTGTAATTAAGTATTTATAATATTAATTATATATAACATCAATATGTTACAATATTAATTGTGCACCATATAAATGTATTATGGTAATATTAATTATATATAATATTTATATGTTGTGATAATATATGCATGATCATTGCAAATGTTTAGATTAAATTATAATGTTCAAATCCTAAGTTCAATATTCATTTTACCAAATACAATAGAAATGTACGTATGTTACGAAAACTTAAAGACAAAGACCCTGTGATTTCCTCATGATGATTTCATATGAAATATTTCTCAGCGAATCATCAATTAACAATATTAATTGCTTTGTTCCTCATAATTCGAATGAACATGCAAAATAGTGAGGGAAAATAAAGGAAACATACGAAGTATCGATTATTGCACAATATATTTTGTATCATCGACTCAAGATAAATACATACAAACGTTACATGTTTTATACATTTTTATCTAAGCCAATATATAATATTTAACACTATGAAAATATACTTTTAATTATTAGAAATCCGATTTATACAATATTACATTAATAAATACCATTTAAAAATCATTAAATAAAATTAATAAAATTTGTTAATTAAAAAGCATTGAAAACTCATTAAATAAAATTAATATAATTTGTTAATTAAAAAGCATTGAAAACTCATTAAATAAAATTAATAAAATTTCTTATATTTCTTAACTTAAAACAAATTTCTTTATAAAATAAATCATAATATTTATTAAGATTTCAATCGGCGATCAGCTTCTTCACCGATTTCTCAGTATCATCATTTACACTTTTCCACTAATTATAAAAAAAGTCATCAGAAATAAATCATTTTAACCTATCTAGTAATTCTAGTGTTAACAAACCAGTATCAGTAATGAATTATACAAATAATTCGATTCCTATTAACAAGCCTAAAATCTAAAATATCGGTAACCAGCGTGATAGTCTGTTGCGCCGTATAAACGCAACCAGTCCGACAATCTACAGTTGTCCAGGCGCCCCTTAGTGCACGCAACCCTGCGTACACGGCCGTAAAACCGATTCACATAAGTAAAACCGCAAAACGAACATCGACATCCGCGATGAAACATTGTAACTTTTTTTTTGTACGTTAACAGAAAAAAACAATCGTACACCACGATCGTGCACGGCGAACCATGAAATTAGGTCAACATGCGAGAAAACCGAGTTACTAAAAAAACGGTGAAAAAATGACGTCACCGAAACTACTCCTGACAGCTGCCTACTCGCACGCCACTGTGGTATACAAAGCGAATATCGCACTCTTGGACGACAGATCGCGACAATAATTCCCCCCAGGGTGGTGCATTAAGAGGGCCGAGGAAACAGCTGTTCTGCTGGATGGTTGCTTTGACAGGGAGGTCAAAGGATAAGCGAATGTTTTATTTACACTTCACGCTCTTAAATGATATCGCGAATATTCCGTGGCGAAAATGAGAATGTCGCAGTCAAGAGAAAACGGCAGATCGACACGCTGAAAATCTTCAACGACAAGTAAGAGAATCCGGAATCCCATGTAACCTCTCTCTCGTTTTAACCTTACTTTCCCCCATGATAATTCTCTGCCCTTTTTTTCCGCCTCGCGTTTTAACGCGAGCCTCGAGTTAGATTTCTTAAGGCGAAGATCCACGGTGGTCGTGATTTCACTATAAAATGCGAGAGCGTGAGTTTCTTTGCTTAGGAATTCGCTAATGCGAACAATGGATCGGAAACGAATGAATTGGCGCTTAACTTTTTATTCGCGTTGCGAAACTTTATTCTCCGAGAATCAATGATATCATTGTCTTGGGAACACGCCCTGCTTGTTTAAATACTTTCCTGGAATTAATTTCTCGGTTTGAACTGGGTAATAGAACTTTGTCATACGTGTGTTTGTTCAGATGGTTTTTTTATATTGTTCAAATGTTTTACATAGGATATCGTTCTCTTCTTTTGATAATTTTGCTATGAGAAAGATTGCTGTGTTTTATTTGGAAATCATTCGATTGGCTGTGCATGATTTGTTACGTTTCAGTGTGGTAGAATTAAGGGAAGATGTGGAATATCAGGTACAATTCAACGCTGGTGAAAGGAGAATGGCTATTATGGTCTCTTTGTCACCGGAGTTTCCGTTGGAAAAGCCAGTGCTGAGGGTGTCTCCACCTGTGAATCATCCTTGGTGTAACGAGTACAGTGAAATCACGAGTGCACCGGGATTACTTAATGTAAGACTTTCTTCTAATCGATGTTTTTACCGATCAGTATAGCGTAGACTATTATTCTTGTGTATCAGTTTACAGTACATAGTGATCTTGGTCGAGTTGTTCAAGCTATTATCAGGGAGTTCAGTAAAAATCCTCCCCAGTTGTTGGAAGATGCCTCTCCAGGATCCATTAAGTCACATAGAGGTAAATTTTAGCTAGCATAACATTCTTGTGTTTAAAATAGTCGACTTGCACAATATCCACCAGTGATAATACAATTATAGATCTACAAGGAAGGAATTCTCCATCGTATTCCATGCAACACTACTCAGAAATCCCGCAGACATCGTTCAATTCTTACCACACTATGCAGTACCCACAATATTCTTCAGCCAGCGGGAGCTCTTGCATTCTCAGTTACAATCAAACCAACTCGGGTACCCAGTATTCCACGGACAGTTGCACAAAGTTTGGCTCTCCGTCGCAGCATTCGACGTACAACCTTTCCAGTTCAAGAAACAGATCACTCCACACAGCAGACCTTACTAGATACAATTCAAATCAGCAAGGGGGGTACTTGAATTCTCATTACGCGAACGCGAATTATCATCAGCAATCGTTGCCGAACCAGTTGCAGCCTAAAACTCCGCAGAGTGTCGCGTTCCCAGAATTGAACAATTTGAGCAATGAGGAATTGAAACAGCTTAGCGAAGACGAGGACAGATTGGACGAATTCTTGGATAAACATTCCGAGCTAAAGGATATTCATGCGTCCATCGACGATGCGATTGATTGGGTCCAAAAAACTGCCGGCAAGTTATTTTTAATTAGCCCGATAGTCTAGTCAGCGAAGCTTCTCTAATTAACAGCTTGTAATTTTCATTCAGCCGACGTGTAAAATATTTTGTATGTTACAAACTGTTACTCGTTGGCTTTTAAAATCTAGCAGTAAACAATAATGTGCTTATGTTATGTGCAATTATACTAGCTTTTATTCCATTAACCCTTTGCACTTGAAGTATTTCATTATACACAGTTCAATATTAAATACCATATTTTATTCTTTGCATCAAATCAAGTGGTAACTAAGAGTCACCTCTCGAGTGCAAAGGGTTAAATTATTTATTATTGTTACCCCCTTGACGTATTATTTACTTTCTCTACTAAGCTCATATAACATTTTACTATCAACTACTTGAAAGAAATGCAACAAAATTCTTTATTCTACTAAGTGGAAATTTCATTTGGATATAATACGTTGATAATAGCAAACAGTCTTTCTTTGATCTATGGGTAATAAACTGATTTTTGTTCAATTAATCTACAAATCTTCACTCGTCATTGTATGACAAGGGGTTAATACAAAATAATACAATGAAAGCTAGTAATAAACACATAAATATACTAAAGTCCATGAACATATTAGTGCAAACGTTGATCACTTTCATTCCGTTTCCAGAGGTCAACGTTGCCAAAGAACCCGAGCTTAGAGAATTGCAGTCTGACGTAGCAAACAAAGTGCAGACGGTCGCTGCGCTGAAGGCCAGATACGATCAACTGATACAACGATACAATAAACTGTCCGAGGTGTTCGCCCCGGACCACATAAAGGAATGCCTGAGGAAAGCAGCAGACGAGAGCCACGAGGAGAGCGAGCGGATCGCCGAGGATTTCCTCAACAGGAAGATAGACGTGGAACGTTTCCTGAGCACGTACATTGAATGCCGGAAGCTGGGTCAAGCGAGGCGAACCAAGGAGGAGAAGCTGGCTCATCAGCTGAACGAATTAAAACGGGCCGGCTATTAAAACTGTAGCCGCGCCGCGTCTAACCGCAGTCTTTGTTTTTCTATCGAGTCCAACAGAAACCGTTGTAAATAACGCCTAGTTAAATTAAAGAAACGAAACCGTGAATTCGAATGGCGATTCGTATTTACTGAAGAAAAGAAAAAAACAGAAAGAAAGAAAGGAAAGAAAGACGAACAAAACAAAAAATGGTATTCTATTATAACGGTAAAGGCACTCGCTGGCAGAGAACACTTTTACAAATGTATCATCACTACGTTACATCACCGCTTGTTACGTACTACTCGTGTGCCGCGTCGAAATTAGTTCGACTGTGTTCATGATGCATTCCGAACGGGACGATTGAGAATTGGAATCGCAGCAAGGACCCCGAGGAGGATTCCTGTGTATGCGAGGACACACCGAAGAGAAGGGGAAGAATAAGCGTTGGCTGGTGCCCGATGGAACCTAAGCGTGCACGCAACGATCATTTCAAAATGTACTTATCCTTCCGTACAGAGAAAGTGTTTGTTGAATGAGATTCCAACGGTCTCGCAGAGCATTTTCTTTTTTACC